CTTGCTCATAGGGGGTCATATGATTGTTGGGCTTTTCTCTGTATCTATGAAGCGCCTTGAGGCGACTTTTGTTGTGATTTGGCGCTATATAAATAAAATTAAATTGAATTGAATTGAATTAGGAGGACACGGGAGGGTTCCAGGTGTTGTAAGAGCTGGGCATTTTGACATTAGAGTCTGTGTGCATTGACTCGATTGTGAAGCCAGGCTCAAATGCCATTAGAGGAAGTGCAGACTTGATTTCCAGTGAGGTGGTGGTTGGTGCAGATTACTTTAATAATAACAATAATAATGATGATAATAATAATAATAATAATAATAATAATAATAATAATAATAATAATAGATCTGGTTGTGTGTATTAACAAACTAAGAAAAACTGAGATTAGACTGCTATGGCCTCCTTTCTCCTCAAGCCTTCTCCCAAATCATAGGCGTAAGGATGAACTGCAGTGATTATTGTGCAAATGCTGTTTAAGGCAAATATCCAAACTGCCAGACTCTGCAGCAAACTATCCATTTGTTTTCAGTGTGGACACCCTTTTGTGCAAATACCCACAAAGTCACATATATTCTCTGGTATGCAGACTTGTTGCAGCAGGATCCAAGTAACCGAGCATGCCTTGCAATTTTAATCCCAGAATGCAACATTTCAATTGCTTTTTTTTTTTTTCTTTCTTTGTCTGAACTTTTCTTTTTTTATTTTCAGATTATGCATGAAAATTGAGTTGCCTTCAAAACTCATCTGTGCCTGCTCACGGTGTGATTCCTAAAGTGTTACTGTTCCCAGGAGTTTTTAAACCCTTACACCTGATATGGCAGACAGTGTAGTTCATTCGATCTTGCGTGTCCCAACATAAACCATTAAAATGAAAAAAAGCATTAGAGTATGTGCAGCTGGTGAAAATTATACAGCTTCTCCTCAGATGTTTGAGTGTTTTATCACAGTTGCTGTAACACTTAGACAAACCAGATGTTTGACTGTCATGTAAGTCGATACTCAGATTGGTGTCGATGTTTCAAGTTTTAAATAATATTGACAATCACATTCATGGATGTATGTGAACTTCATAACACTGCTCAGTTATGTAAACCTGTAGAAAAATGATGTGAGCTTGGAGACCTTTTGTTGTTTATGGGATGTTTTGCAGCTCTGTTGCCTTGGTTCCTTTATTTCCACTTGTCCTGAAATTGGCATTTAGCCGTGGCTTGTTTTGAACATGAACCAACAATGCAACTTTATCTGATACATAGAAGAAGAATAATTCACTGAATTTGTATTGCATTTATTGGCAACATTAATCTAATTTATTTTCACTGGTCACATTTCAGCTCAAAGTGAAGCTTTAGGCTAGTTAGATTTTTGTTTTTTTTACACATTTAGACACGCATTGCATGTGTTGCTAATAGGAGACAAATGACATGATATTAATCACACTCACAACACTGGGTTATGTTGCCACGAGTGTTTATAAAAGCTTTCCAACAGGTTTTTCTGAACCAGCCTCCCTCCGAGTGGTTTGGTAAGACGAATGAGGAGCACGAGAAAGAAGCATCTTTGTGTTGCGAGTGTTGTGTGAACTCACTCGCCTACAGTTTTGCAGTCAAGTAAGAAACTTGCAAAGTAAAGCTGCTGGCATTGTAGGTGTGAAATGCTACATTAGCTCTCCCAATAGCTGCTTCTGCCTCGTGGCAGAGCAAACGCAGAACGACGCCGAACCGAACCAAACGGATTAATCCACAGAACAGTTACCATTACTCGAGACAAATCTCTAATTTGGAAATCCAAAAATCTTTGGTGTACCACTCAAATCTTTAATGATAACGTTACAGAAGCCTAAAATGAAATATTTAATCTGTGTTTTCATCAAGTAGATTTTGATCTTCTGGAGATTTGCTTGTTGAAGGTGATTTTTAGTTCTCTTGTGTATTTTTTTTTTTTAAAGACTTAAATCTTTTACTCAAATTTAAAGATAATTTACAAAAGACTTTTTTTGAATACATTAATACTATATATGGTTTATCGTGGCCAAATTGCAGTACTTTCATGACCCATCACAGGGCTGGGACCCTCATTTTGGTCGTGAATCCCTTATTCTTGTTCTGAAATTAGCAACCATTAAAAAATTGATCTTTGTTTATCTAATGATGCAATGACATCTTTTAGGTGGGCTGATTTCCAAGTTATCTTTTGCCGTAAGCCACTTTGATGATTTTTAAACATAACCATGTTATGAGGTAAACAGTTTCTGAAGTTATTACAATTTTTACACCCTAAAATAGGGCTGTGCGATATGACCAAAATCTCATATCCCGATATAAGACATCTATCATCCGATAACGATATAAATCACAAAAATGGGCGTCGTGTACCTGGAGACGAGTGTTTTAACCAATCCATGAAACGATACATTTTTAGACATAAGTTGTAAAGGCCACAGTTTTCTTTGAGTATTTCTTACACAGCGTGCTGTGGGGAAAAGCCTGTTCTAACGTTTGAGTCTAAGGTTTATTTTTTAGCACCTGACTGCTCTTTTTGCTTCTCATCCGTAAACACTCTGCATACAGCGGAGCCACCCGATGGTTTTACCGTCGTTGTTGCTAACCACAACGCATAAAAACAGGCGCTTGTCCATCCGTAGTGTGGTTATATTAAATATAAGAGAAAGAGAGAACTTTAAGAAATTAATATAGCCACTACAGTGACCATCAAAACGATGAAAAAATATTGCCGTAAACAGTTTATTTTGCGACACCACAAAACAAACAATAGCGTAAAATGAAACGATAGACGTTCCGATATATATCATTATATCGAACAGCCCTACCCTAAAATCAGTCCAAGGGTCTTCCCAGCCCTTCAGCCAGATGTAAGTGGGATTTTTATGGTCCATTCTAACTATACTCATTATCTTTCTCTCTGCTTCTCATAGTTGTGTGTTAATAAGAACTGTTCAAAAGTCTGCTGTGTGTGCGTGTGTGTTGGAAAGCAGAGAGTTTACAAGCCTCCGGCGGCATTAAGTTTATGATGGTTCCAGTCAGCAAAGGTTTGGCCCGACTGCACCAAAGAGAGAAATATGAGCTCTCTACAAAATGAACCTTATGTTCTCTCACACACACGCACATATATATATCCAAACATACACACCCATCTTGTGTATTCCTGTTTGATTGAGGTTGTGAATAATTGATGTCTTTATTATTTGTCCCTCTTGTGCCCTTCAGACCTCTCGCTCTTTCTGCTCACCCGTCCCTCAGTCTCTCTCATTAATCCTATTTCATGTTTCTCTCCCTCAGGACGCTGCTGCGGCTGCTGCTTCAGTAAAGCCATGATTGGATGAAGAAATAACCATTGACTACCAGTATGGACCTGCTCCATCCTGGAGTTTTCAACCATCCCTAGCTCTCAGGTACGCAACAGCTATTTTTTTTAAGTGCTTTTCTGTTTTTCTTGTAGTAGTGACTGAAAATAAAGGCCTGTTTCTGTTTTTTATTTTTTAAAAGTCTTGCATGTGGTGCAGTTGTTGAACTGAAATAATGTAGGAATAATATTATATAGAGATTCTTTTTACTGGATAGCACATGTCTCACCTTTAACCTACGTTTTCAGGCTTGCCTTAGAGCTGTGATTCCTGTATCAGAATTATTGTCTAAATAACTTTTAGTGATAAGACGACCTCAAAAGTTCCCTATTTTGACCTACCGTTATGGTAGGTCAAAATTGGGTAGGCCGCTGAAATATCTAATTGTGCTAGTCTTCATCAAAAATGCACTGACAGATTTTCCTTGGCATGACTCAGGTGGACTGCTTCAGTGTTTGGATTGACTTCAAACCTGATAAGAAAACGAACATTTCCAGGTTCCTCCCACCTTTAAGATACCACCTTAGCTTTATGATAGGAAGGAAGCATTGTTGGATTAGCTTAGTGTTTACAGTAACAGTAGATTAGCATTGCTAACATAACTTCTATACCCCTGACCGCAGCTCTATCATTATGTGTGTTTTGTTTAAGTATTCAGAAATGCTTTGGATATCCACTTTAGTTTCTGCTGTCTCGGAAACCTCTTCCGTCTCCCTTATTACTGTATTATACATGCAGAATCAGGCGTACTCCGGTCCGTGTGTGTGAGGGACACAGTATGGAAGACGTCTGAGATCTCTATCGTCTGATTTCTTCTTTGATTCCTCCATGCTTGATTCATAGTCTCCGTTTAATCATTTTGATTTCTGTGGCCAGCATCCTCGCTTTATCACAGTGTTGTGTTGTCTCCATAGAAACCAGCTGTCAGTGGGTTTCACATGGATGAATGCGGTCTCTGTGGGCAATCCAACAACTTCTCGTAATTCTTTTCATTCTTCTTCTGATCATTTTGTTCTTTTTTTCCCCTCAGATCTGAGTCCACATAACTCTGAACAGTGACCACAGCCAGTGTATGACAGACCTGTCAGGTACGTACACATACACACACACACACACACACACACATACACACACACACACATCAGTGCCTCAAAACCACTTCATTAGCCTTTTAGTTTAGGTTGCACTATCACCACTTGTGCTTTTTTCCCCCAGTTATGCCTAACAGTTACCAATAAACTCTGTATATTGGACACATTTCTCTACTCGTTTCCTTGTTCCCTCATTTGTTTTTGTGACCCAATAATAAACAGACTAACTTGGAGAACTTAAAAACATTCTCTTGATACAGTACAGTCATTTAGTCCTGTGAAAAACTAAGCGCATGATTCAGTAGCTCGTTGAACCACCTACAGCGACTGTAACTTGTATTCTGAGCAACTTTATCAGTCTCTCACATTTACTGTGGAGGAATTTTGGCCTGGTCATCTTTACTTATTGCCTGCAAACCTCGATAAACTGAAGCAGTCATTTTTGCACAGCTCTCCTAAGTTCCCACCGCAGCATTTCAATCAGGTTGAGGTCTGTACTGTGAGTCATTGCAACACTTTCATTATTTTCTCTTTCAGCCATTCTGTTGTAGATTTGCTGACGTGCTCGGGATCATTGTCTTGTTAAATGACCCAGTTTCATTTAAGCTTCAGACTGCTTTAGACAGATGGCCTCATATTTTAATATTAAAATATGTTACTATACATGTTCTGGGGTGCAACCGAGCAACCCTGCTTTTTTTTTTTTTTTTGGTCAAAGTGAAGAAATAAAATGACCACATTGACCTAATCTGGTGACATTTCAAACGTCATAAACGAGAGTTGTGGTCAAATTGAAATCTAGAGGTTGTTCTTATGTATTTTTAGGCATTTCTGGAGTGAAGTATTTCAATGACTCACGCAGTCATGTCTTACTAAGGTTTGAAGCATGCAGTTTACTGCAAATTTAACACTGACGGTATCACAGCCTGATGTGGCTGTGATACTTGCTGTTAGGAGTATTCATTTATTTGGGATTAGAGGGTAGGATGTTATCAGAGTGTACTCGGCATGGCTGGATGGCTCAAAGCTGTGAGCAGGGTACCAAAGCTTCAGCTCTGACCTCTGACTCTTTGCCGAGTCCTTGTATTCAATGTTTTAGAGCAGAGACCCACAAATCCTGGGTTCTAAGTAATGCTGGTATTTTAATGAAGCAGAGCTGGGTGTGGGATGCTGGAGGGAGGAGGAGAATCGCGAGGATAAGATAAATAAGGAGCAAAGTCATTTTTACAGTGAGCTCTGATGCGTTTGCAGTGTTTCAGGGTTTTAGTCACACTTCCAGTCAGAGATCCCGAGTCTACAGTAGATCCAGAGTCGAGCATGTAGCAGCAGTGCACCTCTGTACATTAACAAATTCTGCAAGATCACATTGGCATGCAGAGACAATAGAAATGTGCATATTTATGCTCGTAATTGTGCATAGATGATTTGTGTTCTCTTTTATCCAAGTGTTCAGAAATCCAAATACCAGATTTCAGTATTCAAATCTCAGGTTTATACAGCAAATGTCTTTCTAATAAAGCAGCCTTTCCCCTGATAAATCCTGCACTTCAACTATCTCTTATGAACAGCTGTTTCAACAAGACTAAACGGCCCCCATCAATTTTCAACAGATGAGTTCACCCTTATATCAAAACACATCAGTTCTCCTTCAGCTGCCTCTCGAACACCCGTAAAACCTGCGCTTATGCTTTAATATTTGGTGGATTACTCGACTCTTCAAAAAGGCTGCTCGTTGTTGACCTGCTATTATTTGTGCTGTTTTCGGTAGAATGAAGTAAGCTGCCATCTTTGTGCTTATAAATGAGTGCTTTGGTATTATTAGGTCACCCGCAGAACTTTCTACTTACTTCTGTGGATTTATGTGACTGTACATTCCACCTTAAAAGCTGCTGGTAGCGGCAGGTTTATGCATTAATGAGTAAAAATAAAAGACATGTCGTAGCAGCTCAAACTGTAAAAGTTAACAGAACAGAATGTATTTTTCTTAAAGTCACTGGACTTTATTCACTGCTGAAGATGGCTGACCTTTTTCTTATTAATCTTTAAATGACATATAATTTTTAATTTGTTACATACACATCAGGTCCATAATTATGGACCTGACTTTAAACCATTTTTAAAATGTTATTTCTTTTCACCAGCACAATTGATTTGAAATGAGACTGTAATCAAAGGATATACTTTTGGCTTAAATTTGAGATGCTCAAAAAAATATTGCATTGCCAGTTTAAGAATCACAATTGTTGTTGATTTTTTTTTTTTTTAAACCATATGTCCATTTTTTACAGGCTGAAAAAAATCAGCTAGTTGTTTGATAAGCCTTTTTATAGCCACTTGTCTTTTGTTTCCTCATTATTCAGCACGATAAAAGTGTTTAATTTGTATTTGATAACTCCTAATGAGAACTGTCAAAGAGGTGTTGATGCAAGCGATGGAGGGCTTCATTAGACTTGAAACAAAACAGTCCTATCAGAGAGATAGCAGAAACTTAATTGTTGGTTTAACCACCACTCTTGGAGCATTCTCAAAAAGAAGAATGCTTTTGCCGTTGTCAGCTCAGCAACGGCAAAAGGCCTCAAAGACGACAGAAGGTACAGTGGGGCAAAAAAGTATTTAGTCAGCCACCGATTGTGCAAGTTCCCCCACTTAAAATGATGACAGAGGTCAGTAATTT